CTTTTGTCTGCAAACGATCCCGGTTGTAACGCCAATTTGGTCTTGCATCACGAGAACATCACTGGCATCCAATTGGCGCAGCGCGGGCAGCATATCCTTCAATCGGATTTCAGCAGAATCCCTCCCCATGATATTGCGAATGAGGTTGCGGGTCTGCTGTGGAGTAATCTCGCAGCCTATTATTTACATATACGGTCATACGAAGAACATAGTAGCAGACGTGTAAATTAAAATAAAAATAAAATCTGACTTACATACCAATCCGCTCATTCAAAAAGCTGGAGATGTGCTTCGAAGAAGCACGTGCATCCGCCAAGGTTTTCACGTCCTCACGATCCTGCTCGTCCAATGGTAAGGTCTTAGTCGTCAGATATGACGAAGCTTCAGACGCAGTGGTAGGGTGGGAATGGGTGTGATTCTGGACAAAGCAGATAGCGGTTGGTAACTATAATAACACCCATAATATCCGATAGGAAACCTCGTTGCGAATCTTGATAGTAAAACCCTCCGTAGATGTTCGGATCACAACGGCTGTAAACCGAGCGTTGCACCCGCAATAGCGAATCTTGCGGTTGCGGTGTCCTTTAGAGCGAGAGCTCTGTGAAACCCCGTGTGTACAGCGAAAGATTCTGCTGGCCCACTGAAAGTCGGTGGGTATCTGATCGTCGTTTGTACTACACAATAAAGCAACACATTCACGAGTTAGGTTTTAGCACGTAAAAAGCAAAAGCAAAAACTACCTGCTGTAACACACTGTAGTTTGCGAGCTTCGAACCCGGAACTTGAGATTGTTTTGGTCCTTGTAGGTTTCAAGCACCTTGTCAAACTCTTCCCAGCTGTGGATAGGGAGAGAGGGAAACGGCGGAACAACGTTGATGATCTCCTCACGGTCCAATTGCATGGAATTCAACTCGTCAATGTGTTTGCTTGACCGTTTTCGAGGAGCATACTCCGGGCGCGTCGCCTCCGGTATAGCAATGTCATTCTTACAGTCTTTTGCCGTCTTGTCCCTCGGAATGTTTGCAAGGGGTGCGTCTGACACAGTCTTCTCTATCATAAAGGGCGGAGGGGAAAAACACGAAAAAAAAGCTTCGCTCCTCGGTGAGCGCGGGTTGTGATTCTTTCTTGCATACCGCGCGCACGAAGGTACCGATTAAGAAGTGGGAAGAGCAGGAATAAAAAGGGTGTCTAACTCGCTGTTAGGAATACGATGTGTGAAGACGTAGAGATTGAAGAGGCACTTATGGCAACGGGTGGTGTAGGCTACGAAGAACGCAGATGACGCTGTACTAGACCGACTAGAGGAGCTCAACAATGCGTACTACAAGAAGTTCGGGTAGGTGGCAAATTGCCACTGGCAATGCAAGGGGCTTGCGGTGCTACTGGAATTTGTTTGATTGAGAGCTGTAACTGTCATAGATACATCTATATCGTGTGTGCTACTGGGAAGTCTGCTCCTGAAATGCTTAGGATTCTTGAAACCCGAATGGATAAGAGTTCCGAAGACGAACTTCCGGTGGCTGCAGGCGAGCAAAGCAAGATCACGAAGATCCGACTGGAAAAGCTTCTTCAAGAGTAAGCAATGACCCGAGTTTGTCTTTGTTTCTGCAACAAGGTTATGGTACTACGTAGTAGTCCCTTGCTTCCTTGGTTTTGCGACACTAATTGAGTTTTGTACCTCGATAAACTGCGAAAGTATGCCAAACTTTAAGCTGCTTTTTGTTCTAACATTTTTGTCCCGATATTTTTGCTCTAGCATTTTTGGTCTTATAAAAAGGACCAATACTAGTATGAAATAGCCAAATGTCCTTAAAAAACAGGGATATAAGAAGCAGATTTGCTTACTCATTCCCCTTATCGGTCTAGCAACATCAAATGTTGCAAATTCTTTCTGCCGTGTGTTCAAAGAGCACTTTAACAGTTTTATGTTTGCCATGATGTCTACTATTTTTGTCTCTAATGATCGAGCAAAAAAAGGATGCTCAAGTAACGTGCCATACATGATGGCCATTAGCAATACGATCATCTATATCGGCAGTTATTACATTATTATTTGTATTAACCCTTAAAAAAATGCGCCCTCGCGGTGGGAGGGCGCATTTTTCGCCCTTTAACACCATTACCAAAACAAGGTCCAACTCTGCCAACCGTGTTTTATAACTACCAATCGCAGCTGTGAAAAAAAGAGGTTGGGGGTAATTTTGGATCGTCTGGTCATCGCACAGTATTTTATTGCTCCAACGACCGTAATCGGCCCTTTCTACGCGGTCGTACCATGGATCTAGCGGTCAATCGCCTGACAGCCAGTCACCAGAACATACAAAAGGCAAGACGAATGCACCTATCCGACCTCCCATTTTTCTATAGTGTACTCAAGGTAATTTTGGATCGTCTGGTCATCGCACAGTATTTTATTGCTCCAACGACCGTAATCGGCCCTTTCTACGCGGTCGTACCATGGATCTAGCGGTCAATCGCCTGACAGCCAGTCACCAGAACATACAAAAGGCAAGACGAATGCACCTATCCGACCTCCCATTTTTCTATAGTGTACTCAAGACTAATGCGCACTACCTTCACAGACACTGAAGATAAGCTGCTGGTGTAGATCGCCTTCCAATTCGAAAGGGAGGGCTTACGAATTACATGGGCCTACGTGGCCCGCCGAATGCAGACCAAGCGGCCGGCCCGTCAACTGCGGCTTCGGCTGGCTAGCCTCAAGCGGACCTACGGAAAGGCGATTAGTGGCTTTCCGCCATGTTTTCTCCGCGGCATGCCATCAAGGCGTCTTCTCGGGGCGCTGAGGTCACCACTACCACCACTCCTCATTTTGCAGCAAGTCGTAAAACCAGCATGCCGACCTTCTGCTACTCCGTCAAATTCTCTACTTCTCGGCGGCGATCGCCGCATGCCAGGTTTGTCTGTTTTGGGGATATTTGCATGCCTTTCGTGAGACTGATGACGATAAGCTGGTAACGATACGCATGGGAGCGCCGCCGGAGGCAGTCAGGTGACAGACGACGTGGATCAGGGAAACCAAGACTGCAGAGGTGAGGATACAGGACCCGCAGGCGGCTATATTGCGCGAGATGCGGGGGATGCCGTCAACCACAGGTGACTCAGGCGAAAAGCGCTTCAGGTGAGTCTCGGATTGTTTGATTCACAGAAGACGTCGGCAAATACTAACCTGTGTGTGTAGGTGCTGGTGTTGGGGGCTGTGGAGATAATCTGGACATCAACTGAAGCTGCCGAAAGCCGTGGATATAATTTTCGGAAGTATAAGCGCTCACGACGTTCGCCAGCTCGCTGCGCGCACATATGCCAATGCTGTTGAGGTGCTACCATCCGGTGTCACACTTCTACTTGCTGCCGTCGGACGCTCGGCGAAGCTGACGTCTTCCTTGACGTTGGAGCTGGTGTTGGCAACGTGCTTGCACAGGTAGCACTTACATCGAAAGTCAGAACGTGCATCGGGATCGAGGTGAGAAGGGACCTTGTCTCCCTTGGACGTCGTTGCATGCAGCAGCTACGCAAGCAGTACCCACGGTTCAGTAAGGTGCTGCTCAAGCAAGTCGATGTAAGAGATGTTTAGATGTCACGGCATTATCCCATTTGCGAAGCCACAATTGTCTTTGCTAACATCTTTCTATTTGAAGAAGATGCTAAGCTGATTGTTTCACGAGAGCTAAGCGCAATGCCAGAGGCATGGGTGATAGTTTCAACGTCGCTCTTCAGCCCTAGACATCGATCACCGTGCTCGGAGCCGTGCTGCAAGAGTTGGAAACTGGATCATCAACTAGAAGTACAATGTAGCTGGAAGGCTACCCCTCATCCGATTTACATATACCGTAATAAACTTTGATCCATTCTGCTATCTCATACTTGCTTCTAATCAAAGTCTTTTCGATGCTCATGAGTGCCGCCACCAGAGCAAATGCAGCTTCGCCACCCAGTCTGCGTGCGGCAGCAGCAACCCCGGTAGGTGCAGTATCATCATGTCCTAGTGTAGCAGTAGCCCATACGTCATGCGAGTAACCACTGATTCCGTGAGCACCGCCGAATTCATGAGCGTTGCCGTCACTGACTGTGCCAGCCGCACCGCCAAGTCCGCGGGTGCCATCACCAAGTCTGTAATCATCCAGACCTCCATGTCTTCGCGCGTCGTCGCTGGCAAGTCGGCAAGCGCCACGGCTACCAACTGTATGTGCTGCACCACCAAGCTCGCGCCAATCTTCGCTGTCTGTGCAAGCAGAAGCACTTAGCCTGCCACCGACTCCGCTAGGGTCACCAAGGCTACATGCGCCGCCGACACCGGCTGCACCAGCGGCACCACCAAGTCCGAGCCCCCCCCCCGTCTCCAAGTCTGCGCGCGTCGTCTATGGCAAGTCGGGGAGCTTTACCGCCGCCATCAAGTTCGTGTGTGTCTTCGCCAACTGTGAGAACGGCACCACTGCCACGTCGGCGGGCTCACCACCACGTTTACTAGTGCATCCAATTTCGCGATCATCATGACGGGCACCACTAAGTCTGCTAGCCAACACACTTTCAGGCCTATCGTCCAAACGGCTGTCGTTGTCTGGTCCAGGCGCAACTAGTCCAGTCGAAAGATTGCTACTGCCAAACGCAACAAAACCCTGGCGGAGCATTACCGCTAACCCCGAAAGCAGCAAGACCCTGTGTATCATCATCGCCTTCGTTGTCAAGTGCGTGAGCGATGGCACCTCCGAGATCTGCCCCGTACGTAATTTGGCGAGCGGTAGCAGACCGCCTTACTGCTTGAGACCTGGGTTCGTGCGCATCCTTCAACTTGGCGAGTTTGGGGTGTCGCCTGACATTTCCCTTATCTGTGAACAATGCGTTAGGGTAGTAAAATTGGTGGAACTTATCCCAGCATGTTGATGTCGTCGACGGACACATGCATGGCTTGGAGGGGCGGTCGTGCACAACTCGGCACAAACAAACACCATGCGTGAGGCAATAGTTGGTTACCTCGGTAGGAAACCGTCCCTCCCATCGGCAAACAATACAGCGGCGCCGCTTTCTGCTCTTCTCGACATGAATTTGCCCCGAAGCCACGGAAGTACATGCAGTTGTCGGGAGCACAGCAACTACACTAGGAGAGGGCTGGGAAGAGGGCGTGTCGAGTTGGTCTCCTTCTCCTCCCGTCACCCAGTTCTCCCGCTGTACAGCATGCGACCGTCGCTGGGTGCATTCTTCCATTGTCCATTGAGAAGCTCACCAACTAGCTCCATCACAAACTTTCTATGGGGATCACGCGTTGCTGGCTCCGCCTGTACCAAACGTCGCGTAAGATACGCGTTGGAGCGCGCCACATCGATGAGCGCGAGCGCCAACTTCTTGTGCCAGCGTTTGTACGAATGACCATCTGCAGTAGAGAATCGCCCGCGTATTTGTTCAAGGCGATCAACACCTTGCATATTGGTATTATACTGAGCGACGCACTCTGGAGCTGGAAACGACTGCTTCTCGTTACCAACCATGCGGGTGATAGTTGTAATGTTCGTTGAGTCCGCATTGGACACAAGGTTGACCACGCTACCGTCGCACCATGACGCTGCAAGCATGCTGTGATCGTGCGAGACAGCTTGGCGATAGTCCCCTCGGGTAAAGTCGTCTTTGTGAAGAATAGTGTGACCTGGGAAATGTTTGCTGCTGGCACGGATAGTGCCGCGACCATAGAGGCCTTTCAGTCGGAGCTCCTGGAGAAGCTGCACGGACGTATAATAGTTGTCCATGTTGACAACCCTATTTGTTCCGAATAGCGGTCTTGTTACCTCCAACACATGCTGTCTGATTTTAGATACTTCCTCCAGCTCCTCTCGCAGGTTTTGCGCTTCAACTTGGTCAACTACACCATTCAGTCTGTCCAAGATGTCGCTTCGGTTGCAGTGAAGTTTGTAATTCAGCGCGACCCACGTAGTAGAGCAGCACACCATGTACAGCCGGAAACAATATTTCCCAGTAGGAACTCCGTTGGTTTCTCCAGTAGCATGTCGTTCTTCACCAGATCTCGAAAATTCTGAGGCACGTGCATGCGCAACAGCCCGACACAAATACCGTTCTTCTTGTGAGTGTCGGCCCGCGCGGCTGCACGCTTGTGAAATGTGGCCATCCCCACGACGGCCACGACACCAGCGGCAACTGCAAGCGCAGTGCTGGCCCCGGAGAGTACCGGAGCGCCCAAGACGCCCGATGGTAGCTTCAGCTTTTTTTCCATTACCGGTTGTCAAATGAAATAGCTGGGCACAAATCCGCTCGCGTCGTATTATAGTCCGGAC